ATCTAAGTAGAGTTCTTGATTTTTTACTAAGGACAACTATTTTCAACCCTTAAATACAGCATGGAGCATATCAGTAATGAAATATCTAACAGAACAGTGCCCCCAACCTTTTTGGCACTAGAGAGTTGTTTCGTGGAAGACAATTTTTCCATCAACCCTGGGGGTGGGGGGTAGAGGATGGTTTTGGCTTTTCTCGCTTGCCCACCATTCTCCTCCAACTATGCAGCCTGGTTCCTAACAGGCCAAGGACCAGTTCTTGGCCTGGGCCCTGAGGAGCTTTGTAATATAATATTGAGATGGGGTTTGGGGTGTTTGTTTTTTTTGTGATTAAGAACTGCTTCATCAGACCAAGAGTGTATTGGTTCAAACATGCTAGCCATGTTTTATGCAATTGTGGTTTATGTAATAAGCCACAATTGGCTGGATTTGCTTAACATACAAGCTAAAACCAAATAAAAGACATGAGTAGGCATTATTATAAATCTACTCATTTGAAATTAAAAGAGACATTTTGTGGTTAAATTATTATCTCCTGGTAAAAATATCTTACAAACCAGATTGTGAAAATAATGAAAAGAAAAAAGATGATAAAATATGTAGTATTGCAAAATCTGACATTATAAAACACTGTCTCCCTTAAGATCTGGCAGATCTCCACCCTTTTAGCTTTTTAGAAATCTGGCACTGGGATAGCAATGTCGGGGACTGTACAGTTGGATGGAAGTTGCTGGTTTAGGTGCTATATTTTTCTTTTTTGCTTGTTGGACTGTTTTATCACTGTGCTTTTATTACTGCTGTTAGCTGTCCAGAATTGTTTTTCACAAGATGGGAAACCTTATACATTTTTAAATAAAGAAATAATCATAAAGGAAGAAACTAAATCCATATTTTAAAAAATTCAACTCTGTTAAACAACACGTACCTGTTTGTTATAGAGAAGCAAAGTCCAGATGAAGTACTGCCTAAAGATTGAAAAGGTTTTTGGATATAACTTATGGATGTCTGCCTCTGAGAAATATGAAATGAAGATAGTCGATAAATTGGAGTTACAGTGCATGAGCCACTGTAGACTGAAGGGACCAAAGAGCAAAAAGATCGTAAAACTCCTACCAACAAAAAAAAGAAAACAAAACAGAACATGAACATGAACAACATGGTAAAAGAACTCAGCACAAGATGCAGAATCTTCTTCCTGAATATCATTCATAATTATTGTCCATTTAGGAATTATGTGATGACATGAAGAAATTGTTCTTTTGATTAAGAATCGGAATGAGATTCAGAAGTGGAAATTTTTAATGACACTGGAGCAGATTTGAAGATAGAGTGGATTGTCAAGAGAGAGCAATTAAATATATAGTCATGATAATGCACATTCAGTCTTCAGGACAGATTTTTTTTTTTTTTATTCACTGGAAGATTGGTAGGGAAAATGGTTATTTCCTGTTAAAATAGTCAAATTAAGCAGATAGCCATTTCAATATTCATGAATACATACCATTTGGAACTACCCAATAACAATAAGCCAAACCTTTGGGCTGTTTAACAACAATATTTTATTCTATAGCCTTCCATAGCTATAACCCATTTATGTTTTCACATGTTAAGCAATTATTTAATTTTGAGTGGGTTCATCTACCATAAACGAACCAAACAAATCAAATTATGTCCTAGAACATTGTGTGAAGCCACTTGTGAGTTTATACTTCATTTCAATAAAATTGCTTCTTTATACATACTTTATTCCTCACCTGCTTTGGCTTATTTATTGGGAATAGACTAGATACGAAGACTTGGATTTCCACTCTCTCTCCTCTCGCTCTATTTTCAATAATTTCATTTTCCCATATTTCTCTTGCACGTTTTACTCCTAAGTAATAAATCTAATAAGCAATGCATTGTTTCAAGATTGTGTCAAAACATTAAGATGTGTGGAGCAACGGTGCTAATAAGATGGATCAAAACTGTTATTTCATAACAATATGAAATAGCCCCGATATAGACTAATAAAACAGTTGCTTTCCAGGAAGTGTGCAAACCAGCAAATCTCCGCGCCTCCATTACAACGCCAAACCTCTACCATACATCAATTTATGAGGAAAATCTTCACCTGGCTTTTCTTTTGCACAAAAGAGTAATTGGGATAGGAAACAACTTGCTGACCACAATTTGGACAGCAATGCTAGTCACAAGCTGTATCTGCATCACCATCCAACTACAATCGCTCACTGATACCTTCTTTCGCCTGCAACATTGCACATCAGTCATTTCATCTCAACTACTTTACCAGAACGTCCTGCTATAAAAGCAAAAATGGTACTCTTTCATACTTTAAAATACATTTGAAATCTTCCTTTTGCTACTAAGGCCAATTAAACTGAAGCTTTAAGTATTACAATTGAGCTGTACAGCGGAGGTGGGGAACGATGGCCGCTTTATGTCCTGTGGACTTCAACTCCCAGAATTCCTGAGCCAGCATGGCTAGCTCAGGAATTCTGGGAGTTGAAGTCCACAGGTCATAAAGGGGTAATAGTTCGCCACCCGTTCAAGTGTCCCAAGTAGTATCCTTCCTGCATGAAAATGTATAATTACACAATTCTAGAGGCATCTATAAAGATTTCGCAGCAGTAAGCTATCTTTTTTGGTTCCTCTACTGCTCCTGAACCACCAGACCGAATAAATTTCCGTTTGGATTCTCATTTCGTTCACTGACCTGAAAATCTCCGCGCCGCAGCAAACGCAGCCATCTTCCTTACTTGTTCTCTGTTCTGCCTCACTACGGCAACTGTAAGGAGTCATTACTGAGCAAAAGCGAATTTACGCAACATTCTACCGCTCTTCATCCCTTACTTGTAAAAACCAGGAAGGTGAGGTTTTTTTTGCCACTATTCTGTCTGGACAGCACAGCCACATTACATTGTAAAATAATGACCAATGTAATAACGTGTATAATGTATAAACTACTGAAGAATAAAAACTCATATGAATGTAGACTTGCTGCCTTTTTTAACCCAAGATTTTCTTTAGCGTATATATATGATCACCACTTAGCTTGTCTGACAATTCTCACAGCAACTCTTTAATTCTCCTATAATTTTATTAAATATAAAATCTCATACAGAACTTCAGTCAATTTATTTAATATGATCCACAAAAAGCTATCTGAAAATAAATTTTGTTAATCCCAAACATGTCATAAGATTTGGCTTTTTTTCCTACAAAAGTGTCAGGAAATTTCTTTTGGAAATTAATCCAAGAATTTTACTTGTTAGTTTTAGTTATCTGATTTATTGGCCACAGATATCATACTAGTCTCTAATATTTTTATTTTGGCTGAGTGTATTGTATAAACACTATTAATTGTGGCTTATTCACTAAATCTCAAGCAAAACATAGTTTAATACATAGTATAAGTAATTATTTACCATACTGGACTATTTCTACATGGCCTTCGATTCAAAATTATTGCATATCCAGTTCTGATGCACTTAGTATGCTGTTTTCTCAATATGAAATGAAATCCCAGGCATTTTTTAAAAGTGTTATTAAATCATACTCACTATTATTATTTTGTATCCTTTTACTATTTTTACAAATAATAGTGAACAAGGCAACTGAACATAACCAAACACATCTTGCTCCTCCTATTTTCCCCACAACCACCTTGTGAGGAGGATTGGGTTGCAGGATTGGCACAAGCTGGCTTTTATGGCCTTTGCCATGGGAGTCTAGCCTAGACTAGACCAAACTGGCTCTGATTTAGTGAGTTCTTATATCCTGCCATCTACTCTACAACACAAAGTTCTTAATACAGGTTAGACTTATCATATTATTTGAATCTGAAACATCAGCATTCAGTATATATATTCATATCCCTCTCATATTCTTTATTCAAATAAGGAAATTTATGCAGAGTGCAGAAAAGAATAAGGAATAGGAATGCAAAGGAATTAAAAGTATAAGAAAAAGAGGAAACCATCCATAAATATAGTTTACACCAAGTCATTCACTGTACTTCCCCATCCTTTTCTATCCTAACAAATTATTGGGATTATTGAATGACGGAAACATTTATAGCCAGGAATCAGCTATGCTGGAAAGAAAAATCCAAGAAACAACATACATCAATCAAATAGGAAAATAACAAACTTCAGAAAAGAAATCTACTTATTTTATTTATATCCTGATTTCAATGAAGAATTAAAAATCAGGATAGTTGAAGCGCTAGGCAGCGCTGTGTCAACAAATATGGAACGTGAGTAAATGACTGGAGTTTAGAGGAAGATTGTTATCCTAGTAGTGCTACCAAATATTGTTTTTCCAAACAAATATACATAAAATACATAAAATGAATAGGGGAGGGGAAAGCAACAGCATTTTATGGGGTTCAGACAACATAAATTGAACAAAACATGTTCCTGCCTGAAACATGCAGTGGTATACTTTTTAACTGTATTAACAAATTGGCATTCTACTGCTCTATTTTATGATGTTAAACCAGAACATGAAAATAATTCATTTTAATTATTTGATTATTTTTAATAACTTCCATGAAAATGCTGTGGTACTGGCATATGTTTAGAATAAAAATTATACCAATACAACATTGTTCCACGTTTTATTTTTTGCTTCCCTCCTTTACCAAAAGCAATTTTTGCAAGGCTATTGACATCGACTGCTCATACTTGTCATTAGAACAATTTAAAAACGAAAAATTTATTTATATAATTCTTTCTTTAATTTGAAAGACCGTAGCACGCGAAATCTTTCTCCAGACCAAAAATAAATAAATAATGCAGACATGGCGCCAAAACCATTATCTGAGCCCAAAGTCCAAGAGCGACTCATTCTGCGCTTCTTGGTACGCGTGGCTGATGACGTTTCGTATTCCAATTGACCGCCATGACAGTCTCTGTATGATAGAGGGAGGAATATTTGCATATTCGCCGTTTAGTCTATTTTGATTGGTAAACCCAAGCTCCTCCCTCCTCGTTAACGTGCCCTGGGCGTTTGTCACTGCGGGGGTAGACAGGCGGTGGATCGCGACACTTTTTTTTTTTTCTCTTCGGCGATCGGTCCTCGCCATCATGTTGCGGGTCTGTCAGCGCGTGGCCACCACAGCGGCTCAGGTGAGCAACGTGAGAGAGTTGATGCGTCCGGCGCTGCTCCGATTCCATTTGCAGCCTCTTTGTCACGGGCGCTCGCTTCTCGTAGCGAATTGACAGGAGAAACGGAAGAGGCCTCGTGATTCCAGCGCGGCTGAACCGCAGCCGTGAGGGAAAAAGCAATATGTGGGGACTACTCAGCCGCCTACCCGTTGCAGGCGATCGAGGAAATAGGGTGGGATGCGGCTCGTTCGCGTGGCGTGCGCTTAAATTAAGCCTACGCTTCCCGTCAAGCAGTGCGGGCTGGTGCCCCTTTTTGCAGGGGAGGCGGCTCTGAAATTTCTTGCTGCCTCGGCTTGCTTAATAAGAAACTACTTAATAAGAAAGACGAGAGCCTCAAATGCCGACTGGACATGATCACTCTCGTTGCCTGCTCGATGGTGGGCAAGAGCCTCTGGGGTTGGTAGGCTCCTTGGGTCACCTCTAATTCGGAGCACGGCCTGTAACTCCTGGAAGCTCTTGGTATTTCAAGGACTTCCTCCACTATTGTGTTGTCATGTGTGAGAGGCAGCTGAACAGCATCCAGCCATCCGTGCCAGCCACAGTCTTTGTGGGAACAGTCTTTGTGACAACATAAAAAGACATGACATTTGCTTTTTAGGAAGAGAAAAAATGTGTAATCTGGAGGATTTGTTCCTTCATGAAAAAAGTGTGAAACAGGTAAAGATGATTTGGGTGCCTTCAACACATACTTTTGAAGGAACAATTCGATTTAGCATATTCCACAACTTGCTTCTAGTACTAAAAACATCCAATGTGTAGGTTTAGTTTAGTCTAATGTTCTGTTAAATTTAGTTGCAAAATAAGCCTTTATGGTATTACTGTTTTTCATTCTTTTTTAAAATTTAGAATATTTTAGAATTCTAATCAATTGTATCTTTGGAGCAAGGAAACATGCAACACACTCTAGCCCCCTAGAACAGGAGTCGACAACCTTTTGGACCTCAGGGACTACCAAACTCATAATTTTTAATCCCGGGAACCACTAATATGAATTTTGATGGCTTGCTGATGTTGGTGGGAGAGAGAGAGAGAGATCTGATCTAATCTCTCTCTCTCTCTCTTACACACACAAACACACAGAGGCAGGGGTGGGATTCAAATCTCTTAACTGGTTCTTGAGTCGGCCTAATTTTGGGGTGTGGCTTGGTGGTCATGTGACTGGCTGAGTATGGCTTGTATGTAAATATTATAAATATTTATGTAAATATTGAATTTTTTATTAAAAAAGAGCAACTTTTATCCAAAATCAGGCAAAGCAGGCAGGCAGATTGAGTTGCTCACAAACTCACAGATTCAGAGATCTACCTTTCTGCCATCGGCTACCTGAGTCTATCATGTAAAATTTGCCTGCAAGCAAACTTACAAAATTAACTCACAACACACCATGTATGTAAATATTGAATTTTTTATTAAAAAAAAGAACAACTTTTACCCAACATCAAGCAAAGCAGGCAGATTGAGTTGCTCACAGAATCACAGAGTCACTTAGAGATCTGTGTTTCTGCCATTGTCTATCTGAGTCTGCAACTGAATAATAGAACCTTCAGTCCTAAGGGAGATTCAGCTCTGCTTAAAAGATTAGCTAGAAAGCAAGAAATCCAACGATTTCCTGCCTTCTAGCTAGTCAATCTCCCAGCACAGCAGAGCAGCTGATGGTCAGGAAAAAAAGGAAAAATAGCAACTTAGCAGGCAAGTTTGCCAGGTAAGGAGTGAATGGGTGGGGAGGGTTCCCACGGGCCATATGGGCGGCACAGGCTTGTGTTCCTGCGCAGTCTGGATTAATTGCTTTAGGGGATGCTCTGGGGGTGACATTTCTCTGCAGACCACCAAAATTTTCTCACAGACCACCAGTGGACCTTGGCCCACCGGTTGATGGGCTCTGACCACCATAGCCCCATGGGGAGAGGGAGAGGGAGAGAGAGAGAAAATAAGGCATTTGATTCCTTTTCACATGATTGGATAATCAAGTGCTTAAAAATAACAGGAGTCAGTAGAGGCTGACTCAGAAGCTTTGTGCAAATCAGAAGCTTTGTGCAAAGATTGATAGCACAATAGAAAACACAGTTGCAAATCAATGGTGATAGAATGGGAGTGGTTAATATCAAGAGAGGAATTTTCCAAGGAGACTCATTTTTGTTCATCATTGCACTGATTCCTCTGTAAACAATACTGTATCTTGGCCCATGACTACCAAACATAAAAATATCTGCAGGCTATTTACATAGATTATTTGAAGCTATTATGGAAAAACACCATCTGAAATAGAATCACTGCTCAACACTGTCCATGTACATTGCCAAGATATTGCAATGGAGTTTAAACTGGACTAATGTGCTATGCTTATCATCAAATGAGGAAACATAGTGCAAACTGAAGGAATCAAGATGCGCTGTGGAAATATCATCAAGAGTCTGAATGAAGGTAGTCATTGTAAATACCTGAGTGTCTTTAAAGTTGACAGCATCAAGCATACTGAAGTCAAGAAAAAGAAGTGAATTCATTAAGAGAGTGAGGAAGATCTTAAAGTCAAAACTCAAGAGGTTCAGTGGAGAATATCATCAAGGCAATCAACACTTGGGCAATTCCAGTCATTAGATACATCTCTGGAATAGTGGACTGGACTCAAGCAGAACTAAGGGTCCTGGATATGAAGATCAGAAAATTAAAGGCAATGAATCATGAGTGATCTATGCAGTGATGTTGATAGACTTCACTTACCAAGGAAAATGGGCGGGCATGCAATGTTGGGACTTCATCAGATAGTTGAAGAAGAAGAAAAAAAGGCATTGGAAGAATATCTGAAGGACAGTGAAGACAATTAACTAAAGCTAGTAAATCAGGAAAGCTTTCTGAGTACTGGAGAAACCAAAACATCTTATAGGAAGGACCAAATGAAGAACAGAAAGGAGGCATAGGAAGACAAAACTACATGGCCAGTACATAAAATAGCAGAGAAAGTAGATAATAAGAATACCTGACAATGCCTAAGAGCAAGAAAGTCAAATAAAAACACACAAGGGCTAATTCTGCCACCTCTGCAAAGAAGCTGAAGAAACAGCAGACCACCTGGTTAGCTGTTGCAAAAAGATCACTACAAGCAATGGCAAGACAAAATAGCAACAATGGCATTTCAAAATCTGCAAGAAATGTCATTTGCCTGCAAGCAAGAACTGATGGGAATCATCAAATAGAGAAGAGCATAGAAAAGAAGCTAAATTGCTCTGAGACTTTAGAATACAGACAGACAGGCACCTGCCACGTGACACTCCAGGCTTAACAACTGTCAATACGAAAGTAAAAAAAGATTGGATAGTGGACATGGCAGTATCTGAAGACAGCGGAAGAGAAACAACTGGAGAAGATAACAAAATACCAAACCTGTAAATAAAATAGAATAATTGTGGCAGAAGCAAGCAAAGATAGTCCCAATAGTAATAGTCATTTTGAGTGTAATCCCACAATAACTGGAGCACCACTTGAACACCATTGGCATTGGTAAATTCACCCTCAATCAATTGCAAAAAGCAGCTTTAATCAGAACAGTTTATATCCTGCAGTGATACCTGTAATACCAGCAACCATCCACCTAGCCCATCCAAGGGAAGGACTGGATAGATGAATAAAAATTCCATATCCAGTCCGGACATCTGGCTGACTGTGATGATCTTGATTTTCATTTTTAGTTCAATGGTTAATAATTATATTCTGTTTTTTAGTTCATGAAGGGGTAGGTGAAAAATGTCATGATACACAACTTGCATTATATAGTGACGTCGCATAATCATTGCATGTGTGGTCATTTTAATATCATCATGACTTGATACAGATGCTGCAGTTAATGTTGGTTTGCAGTAATTTGTTAAAAATATCAAATTGCACATTTTAGAAGAAAATAGCAGTTATCAGGTTGTATTTAGCATTTAAGAAACAATCTGAGTAAAGTTATTTGAAGTGAAACCCGAGCTTCTGCCTCAAAGTAAGCAGCAGTGTAGGGAAATAAAAGACTTTGGATATTATTACTGGCGAAAAACTGGTTTACATCTAGATTTATTTGTACCATAGCTATTTTTAAAAAAACATAATGATGCTTACTATTTATAATTATACTAATTATAACCATATTTATTTTAGCACATCTATTGTATGTTAACTTTTATTTAAGGTTTGTAGATTTGAATAGGGTGGTTCTATTATTTTAAAATTCACCTAAAATTAAAATGGATTCCATACATTATAGTTGGCATAGGATCTTTCTGATACATATTGTACTTATGTATTAACATAATAATTAAATGTTTTCTGCTGAGTGCCAACTGCCTGCAATTTGGCAGTTCTAATCTCACCAGGCTCAAGGTTGACTCAGCCTTCCATTCTTCTGAGGTGGGCAAAATGTGGACCCAAATTGTTGGGGGCAATATGCTGACTCTGTAAACTGCATGCACCGGGGGCGTGGGGGGGAGCCAAGCACGCATTGCCTTCTGGGTGCTGGCACGCATGCGCAAGCGAGCGCTGGTGCAATTATTGGCACGGGAGCCGAAAAAGGTTAGCCACCACTGGACTAGAGCATGGGTGTCAAACTTGGAGCGTCATGTTGCCATCACATGATGTATTGTGATGTCTTTCCCCTTCACAGAGCTAGGATGGGCGTGGCCTGTGTGTGACACATCCGGCCTCCAGGCCTCCAGTTTGACATGTCTGGACTAGAGTTTAAAACTAGAGGTTTTTTCTAACATGAATTTGCTTTGTTATGCAAAACAACAAAAGAATGAATGAACTTCTTTCATTTTTTTAAAGATAGGCGCTTAAATTTGAATTTTTAAAAAATGGTCCCAGTTATTTAAATTATATTATTTTGCTTTAAAGTGGTCTTGAAAATTGAGAACAAATTTGATTTTTAATATGAACATCATATAAACATCATAATGCTTTGATAGGAGCCTAGTTGCTGTATTTTGAATCATTAAAGCTTGCGAAAGTTAGAATAGCCTAACATAGATTGTGTTGTACTATAATTAAATGTAAGCAAGGCATTAAAAAGATGATGAATTAATAACAATTAGCTGCCAAAGAGATTTCTGAATCTGGAATGAAAATTAGAGTTCTTGATCTGATGTTTTAATCAAATTAAGTTCTTACTTTCATAGCTATCCTAGCAACATTTTCTAGGTCATTATTTGTGTTTTATGCTACATTATTTGTGGTTTTATGCTACACAATCTTCACAGAAATTAAATTAAGGTGGGCAGAAGCCAATAAATAGATAGTTATTTGCAAGGCTGCTGTAATAAAAATATCAAAGATTGGTAAAACATGAGATAAACATGAGTCATTATTCATAACATATTGCTTTTTTATTTTTTTAGAATTGTCTTTGTAGTAAAAGTTCACTCCGTTCTTCCCGGCTGTCTCGTGGATATGCCTCATCTAGAGAGTCTGGGTATGTATTCGTAAAAGGGATGATATAAGGAGCCTTCCTCCAAATATACTGTACAATTGCTATGCTAGCTGGGAGATCTAGGGTATTTTCTTTTTCATAGAGTAGTTTGATAACATTTTTCTATATCTACCTGTATAAAATAAAACACGGTTACGAAAACAAATGATATGCCAAACTAACCAAAAGTAAATATTACCATCCTTCCAACATTATGTGATGACCCGTAGTGTCTCAAAAATAACACAAAAACTAAAACATGAATCAAGGTCTTGTAATACCTTCAACTTAACTTCACTGTTCTATTAGTCACAGTTTCAATTCAAAAAGTAGATAATGAAGCAAAAGGAAACCAAAAACAAACCGCATTGACGAGAGTTCCAAGGCAAACCAAGATAATTAATCACACATTCCAGAAAGATAACGGGAGAATCCATGGGAAGAAAAACCTCATCCAAAGAAAGCACTAATTTGACTCGGGTCTGTGATCACGCAGTTCCAAGCTCTTATACAGAGCTCACAGCTGCAACCCATGAGGAGGATCATGGCCCTCTCCTCCCAAGTAGACCACGCTTTTCCCTGATCCTCTCCTCCCTGCGTGCCCTAGGATGGATAGGGGATGGGCCTGGATCCTCTTCTGATTGCTCAGCCGGCCTCTGCCCTTCCCCAACCTCCTCCACCACCTCTGGAGCCACACTTCCACTCCCTGTTGGCTGTTTCTCCTCTCCTTCAGAGTCAGTCTCCACCAGGGGCATGACACATTATTATATATGTACTGGAAAAGCCAATCTTCACATTTCATATATACATAAACTTTGCTTAAGAATCTGTCATTTTATAGCCATTTGAAGTTACGATGACAAGGTAATAGGTGCTTTATTTTAATGCATAGCATAACTCTGTTCTTGTTACTATGAATATTCATAAAGATTTATTTACCTTCAGGTTACTTTGTGAAATATAGTTTAGAAGAAATAAAATTAGATACTAATGTTTTTTTGTAATAAAAATTCTGTCATATTCTTATTTTTCCATTTACTGAATATTTTCATTTAAAGGAAGTGGGTTCTAGTGAGTGTTCCTATACAAGGCAATTTATATTTAGTGTCATACTGATGCCTTTTGAATATTTTAATGCAAAGAAACTTCTGATAGAAAACTTATAAGAACTTGTTTTAGAAGAACCAGTGAAACACAAAAGTGCTGTTAGGTGTACCAAAGAATTTTCTTACTGCTTTTATTAAACATCCAATCATTTCCTATGACAATAGGTAGTTCTCAAATAACAACCATAATTGAGCCAAAAATATAGTTGTAAGTCATTGTGGTTGTTAAGTGGGTCACTATGTGACCAGGCCCAATTTAATGACATTTTTTGTTGTGGTTGTTAAGCAAACATTGTGGTCATTAAGTGAATCCAATATATTCATTGGGCACTTTTTCCTATTAACTAGAAATAAACATTGGAAACCAGCAAAAAATATTGAAAAGTTTGGTCATAAAGCCAAAGAATGCTGCAAACAGCCATCAAGGGCAATTTGTTGCCAAACACCCAAAATGCAATCTCATGACCACAGGATAACGCTGCGATTGTAATCTTGAAATTGGGTTTTAGCTACCTTTTTTTTGATGGTGCGGGTAATCTGTCATAACTTTGAATGGTTGCTAATTGACCCATCATAAATCAAGGACTAGTTTTACTCATATATTATGTTTGGGAAAACTGTTCAAGCTTGTCTGTTATGTGTATAAAGTTGAGAAAGGGGAAAAAAACCAGTTTACCTTGAATTATATTAATGTTGCAAAGAACAGTTGTGCTGTCTTGAAGAAGCTGCTGCTTTGTTGTTTCTGACAGATGTTCCCAAGCAGTTTTTTTATCTTCAAATCCAGCCTTAATTATAACACATTGGATTATATTTTATATGTTATTGGGAATAGCGTTTATATCATGATTTATAGGAGTTTGAAATTTCTGTCATTTGCATTTAAATATATATGATGCTGATACTTACATACAGATAGTTACGGTTTTTTGATTGTTAACAAGAAGTTAGCCTAGGAAGAGAGTAAGGTTTTCTAACATATATTCTTTCTGCTTTTTTAAAAAATACATATCCAAAAGGCTTTTTTCTTGTTTTAACAGTGTCTCTGCAGGGAAAATAATTGGTGCCAGTGTTTTGTTTGTTGGTGGAGGAATAGGTGGAACTATTTTATATGCAAATTATGATCCACGCTTCCGAGAAAATGTAGAGAAGACAATCCCTTATTCCAGTGATTTGTTTGAAATAGTTTTGGGTCCTCTTCCTTATATTTCAGCACCAAAGAAACCAGTAAGTTTTTTCCCCTGAAGTAATATATGCTTATATTGTATTGTGTGAGTTTGTGTGTGTGTGTGTGTGTATGTATATGTATAATTCAAGAACCTTCTTCAGGATATCATTCCTTTTTTAGAATGTATAAAGGTTATCTCAAAAAGATTATTTTGTTTTGAGAATCCCCTTTAATGAAGTTCTGGTTGAAGGCTTTGCTGGCTTCTGACACTGTTCTTAGTTTGCTAGCTTTTAGCTTGTCTAAACTTTAGGGTTCAATTTTTATCCTTGAAAATGAAATTCTTTCCTTGTGAACTTTATTTATTTCACAGTTAAGATGAAATTCATGATGAAGTTATGTCATGTTACTAGGGAAAGTTATTATATCATGTTACTGGGAAAGCAGGAGGAATTTTCTTTTTCTCTCAGTGGGAATAAAGCACAAATAAAATAAAATAAGAAAATCTACTGACTAATGGAACTAAATATTTTTTCCCACAGATACAGTCAGCTCCACTAAATATCTCTTCTGTAGCAGAAGTAAAGAAAGAATCTAAACAAGCAGTTGTGAAATCTCCAAAGACCAAAACAGATACTACTTCAACTACTACTGAAGAAAAAGAAGGTAAAACAGATTATTGCCCTATAATCCCGCTAGGCAGTGTCCTATTTATGAAAGATGCAATGTTTTAAACTAGCTGTTATTTTAAACTAGCTCTAATCTATTTTTTTGAGAATATTAACACCTGTGTGTCCTTTTATATTCAGTGCTTGCTGATAACTTCTGTTGTTGAAATACGCTTTAAAATATTTTGTATAAAATTATTAAAATGTTAAAAGCATTATGTAACAAATATAAGAATCACAATCTTCAGAAAATTATTTATGGTCAAAGAACAAATTAAAAGGAAAATGTGTAAATATTGTTGAGACTAATTAAATAAAGAGAGGAAATATATGTAATAGATTGAATAGATTTAATTAAATAAGTTAAAATATTTTATATGTATATAAAAACAGTAAGAAAGTAAATAGAATTGAGAATCTTTTTGGATTCCCAAATATCTAGGCAATTCTTATCAGTAGAAAAACCTGCTGATATAAAGTATACAGCTTGGCACACAGAGTAATCCTTATACTCACCAAGAAAGGGAGAATATATTAGAATCAGTATTCCAATATTGAAATAAGGGAAAGTACAAGAGAACATGAGTTACTGATTTAACTATTTCTGAGCATGTGCAGTTACCTCTCATTGGGAAATATTTTTAAACTGGCCTTCCACTTGTTTGTTAGCAGGTCATTAAATCTTGCTAATCTGAATACTTTACAGCATGACAGAGAAAAATAATGTAGGAATAGCAAAAGAATTAAGATAAAATTCAATAAGATGATTTGGAATATTAGATCTTCCAGTTTGTTAATCAAGATCTAAAACATGTTATTTTATTTTAGAAATAGCTTTCTCCAAACTAGAGATCATTGGTGATTAGGTTGGTAGGCCATAATTGAAAAGATAATTTCCTGTGGCTTTTTACAGGAAGAGTTGAATTTTTCTCTAAGAACAAGTAAGACTGGAGATTTGTTTCCAAGATCTAGTTGCAATCAGTATCTCAGGTGGTGGCCTCACATACCATACAAAACAGTTATTAGAAGAATCTCTTAAGTTAAAATAATACATTAAAATTAATTGAGAAACACGGGACATCATAGTTTTATAAACACAAAATGGAGTGAAATTAAATTACCTTAGCTCTATAAAATTTAATTGCTGCTAGAAAAAAGTACTGCCTATATCAATCTGATTATTACTTTTGAATCCTCTATGTGAAAAGTAAAGATTTGCCTATTTGTTACTTCCATATGGAAAAAGAATGAAATGTCATACCTTGGTCTTTAAAGGTTTGTTCTATTTAGACAACAATTTGAATATTAAGAAAAAGGCTACCTTTGCATTTCAATAATTCATTGCAAGCTTTCCACACTGACAGAAGTTAGCTTCTTCTCTGCCTCAAATAAGATTTTGGAATAGCTTCCAAAGTCCTGGTTGAAGCAAAGAAGACTGGCAGTAGCAGAATGCACGAATGGAGTTTGTGTATATGTTTACATCCCTAATCATTCAATTAATTCATTGTGATCACAGGTCATAACAACGTAATATAGAATACAAAAGGAATGAAGTTAGAAAAAGAAGAAAAAGAAAAAACAACCACCCCCAAAAGCATATAAAAGAATCAAGTTTGAGAGCCAGTGGTTAAGTTAGGGTTAATCTAAGCCTAAACCACCTCATAGGATTTTTGTCATCAAGAAAATAGGAGGAGGCAGGAGTGTTATATATGTTCACCTCCTTGAGTTACCGTATATACTTGAGTATAAGTCGACCCAAATATAAGCCAAGGCACCTAATTTTACCACAAAAAAAACTGGGAAAACTTATTGACTCGAGTATAAGCCGAGGGGTTTTTTTTCAGCACAAAAAATGTGCTGAAAAACTCGGCTTATACTCGAGTATATACGGTACTTATAAAATAATAAAGATGGATGGATGGCAAGAAAGAGAGAGAGAGAGAGAGAAAGAAAGTTAAGATAAAAATCAGTACTATTTAAAAGAAAGCTTTGTAAAGATAGTGATCTGGCTATTAACTGTTAGATCACCCCCCCCCCCCCAGAAGATAGTTCAGTTATTCAGCATCCAGCCCTTTAAGTCTATGTATCATCAATATTTACAGCAGGCTCAGAAGTCGCTCACATACTCTCAGCAACAGGTGAAGCATTGTCAGTACCAGCTCCAGGAATGCAGCAGGAGGAGGAATGCTACAAAAGTCACGTTCAGCAAAAACCTCCTGACTTAGGTATCTTTTGTTTATCTCAAAATTCTGAAACAAATATAATTACGGAAATTCAAAGCTAGACCCATTATGTGTGGATGTTAACTATCAAGATTCTTGCCATCTCTTTCAGCAAGAATTCTCTCGATTGATAAATTACTTCTTTAATATTCTGCAAGTTTTGTATAGCCACTTTTAATATTTTGTTACTGATTGTACTTACTTTCTTGAGATGTTTAGTCACATGAAGATTAATAATTTTGTTCCATATCTAAGATATCTATTGATTTAAATTATTATTTTTTATGACTGTGTAACTTAAAATTTCACATTGTCATCTGCCTAATTGCTGCTTTTAGTAACCAAAAACAGTTGACTTATATATTCAGCTACAATGTAGCAAAAAGTCATAAAAGTATTAGTTTTGTATAGAAAGTGATAAAACTTATTTATTTTGATTATGAAGTTAACTTTCTTCAGTTCAAGTCAAGTTTATTTCAAAGACTGAAACAATTATATGTTTTATTTGTTAGCAAAAGTTAACATCCTTCTTAATTTCTATAGTTCTCTTATTGCTATATTCCTTTGTTGGAATTTTTACATATTTTTACAGTAATATTTTACTAATTTTTCTCCCAAAAATTAACATTGGTTCGTCCTGGATCAAATATCCACATATGTTTCTTAAAACCGTCTCTTATCCATTATTATCTGATTATCGTATATACTCGAGTATAAGCCGAGTTTTTCAGCCCATTTTTTGTGCTGAAAAAATCCCCCTCGGCTTATACTCGAGTCAGATTCCCCTCTGAAAATAAAAATGGTGTGGAGCTCCGGAGCTGGGCAGGCGCTTCCCTGCTTCCATGTTTCCTTTGCAACTTTTAAGCATGGGGGTAATCGGAAGCAGAAAAGTTCTTGCATGAGGATATGTTTTTTCTTTTTTTAACTGTTTTTAGGGGGGGGGGGAAGACCCACCGCCATGTGAGAATGCTCAGACACGAAATCTATCCGCCCAAAAATAAGTGTGTGTGTGGGGGGGGATTTTTAACAGAAGATGTAGGGAGAAGGCAAAAGCGACGGAAGATCCTTCAGGGGAAACTGAGGGGGAGACTCACCCTTGGTCCAGATGAACCCCCTTCCCCGCCCCTAAGGAAGCAGAGGCAGCCAGCAAGGGCAGGCAAGCCCCGCTTCACAGACTCCGTCCGTCCTCACTCCCACCCACCCAAAGCCACGAAGTCCCCCAATCGCGCAGCCCAGAATCGCCCTCCCCTCGGGGGCAGCAACGACGCCCGGTTTTTCCCGAGACAAGAAGCTCCGCCGTGCAATGAAAGCGCCCTGGCTCTAGGCTCAGAAAACAACGCGAGCCGAGGTTGCTTCGGCTCCGCTCGGCTTCTCCAACATCCGGCACCGCCCTGTTCT